GCAGTTTTGAACCAAATAAAAGCCTATTTTTGTTTACATTGGTTTTAATCCGTTTAGGTGATTGGCAGATTGTGCCTCACTGGAATATTACCAGAGGATGATTCGCCTTAAGATTATGAGAACAAAATAAGACAAGATGGATGTGGCATGCCAAAATTATTACTGGAACAGCATTCTAGACTATTCCAGCTCAAATTAGGCACTGCTTATGGATCCTCATATGGTGTGAGAAAGTGCAGATTAACCGACCATCATAGATGATTGGATTCATCGATAAGAAAATGACAAATAAGAATTGTCTCATTTCTGAAAATCTCTCAGTGTATTCAAGACAAAACATTGTAAAATACAGTGTCCATGTCTAGATCAGTACCATTTATATTGGATTTCCTATTTCTGCTTTTAAGAATGAGTGCCAAAAATGATAGCCACCTGCTATATATTTTGGCTGTTAAAAGGCAGCGCTATTGAGGATGGCAACGGGATATTTTGGTCACAGCTCGTATGCCTCTGCCATTGCAGTTCCGTAAGTTTTATGAACAGTTCAGTGGGACTGATTGTAAAGGTTTATAACTGATAATATTTTATTAGCTCTCTAATATGTTTCACAATGCTTCCGCATAAAACAATTTGGAGTGCATTAAAATAATAAGAAATACAATTATTGGAAGAAATGAATATGACTAACATCTTGACATGTAAGCCTGCTCTTTTAAAACATTGTCTTTTTCCAGTATGATTTGAAATGTAAAATGTGCAAAGAAAATGTTTACTTTTGAAAATACATTACAGCAATACATAGTCAAATTTGTCACTTAAACAATAAATAATAAAATAAAGATAACCCATTTAGGACATAATTCCTAGGCTGGGACAGAAAGTAGCAGTGGAACATTTTCAATGACCACCAACTGCAATGCACAATTTGAATTAAATGATGACGTCACCCTGATGCTGCTCTATTTAAGACCGGAAGCAACAGGAGAGCTTCACCATTTTTGCCCGATGAAGCTGATTGTAACTATCAGCGAAACGTCGTACTCAAATTTTAAAATGCTGTTGATTCTCTCTTCAGCACACCGGTGGGCTAAAGAAATCAATTAATTTGTCCTTCGAAAACGTGACACATTTTTTACTGTTTGGCCGTGTCGGGTGGTGGAGGGTTACGACACATTTATAAATAACGCGATCTGACCCAAAAACCTATATTATGCAATGCACCATATTCATCCCGTAATTGGAAGCACCTTCTGTTGACCGAGCCGACAACTAAAAACATTCCCAAGACATTAATGAAACACCTCCCCACTCCATCCGAAGGTAATCACTAGGTGACAGACAATTCCTTTTCATCCCTTGCAGTTCAATCATCATATGACTTGACAGTTTTATTAAATTTCACACTTTAGTCATTCCCATTTGAACTCTTTAGTTTAACTTGTTTCATGTTTTTCATAGCAAGTTATTGTCGTTCGAAATATTTTATTTATTATTTCATGTAAAGTACATTTTTCATGGAATTTGATCTTCCACGTTTAATTATTTTACAATTCTGGATTTTCCATCGTGTTTAAAAAATACTTTTATTTAACCTATCCCGAAGAAAGGTGACCCATCTCATCCATCTAGGTACAGACTCAGGCATTCAATCATCATCTAAAAAGGTATAGTCCAATATTAACAGACCACTGCTGAAACATTTAGAAAAAATATATAATTAGTTATCATCAATTTAGCTTCAATAAAATGGACACCCAATCAGCCTCCTTCCCCGAATAACCCATCTGTGGAATTGTGTAATAGATGGCTGATGAGTGCTGGATAAAATAGCTCCCCGGGATAGTCATCCATAAAAATACATTATTCAGATCAGCTGAATAACAAGGCTAGGAGGCTACGAAACTTCTGTGCAACCTATGGGCTTGGAATCGCCAATACGCCGTTCTGGCATTAGCCTATCCACACATAAGGGATGCACACCGGGTCCAATCAAAAACATCTGCGGGACTACATAGTGAAGGAACAGTGAAAGCGGGCCCATGTCTTGACACCGGGACCTACTTTAGAGTTGATCTTCCCACTGACCAACTCGGCTTGTCATTTGTAAGATGTGGCTACCATACTTTCACTGTGGTGGCAATCATCCATTTATGACTCCACTCAAACCCACAATAGCCTGACCTCAGATAGCTGATGGAGGTAGCAAGCAATCATTTCATAATAACTTGCAACTGGGATTGACATCGTCCCCTCCCTCCTCCTGATGTCGAGGGGAAATGGGTGTCAGTGTGATCGATGCAATTCCGCATCATGGCCAAGGCCGAACTCTGCCCTCTAAGCCTGCCCATTGTTGGCCATTCCATTCTTGCAGTTAGTGGTATGGGTATTATTTTATGCAAAAAACAATATCTTATTAAAAGTTGCCGAATTATTCTAAAAAAAAGCTGCAAGATTTGGGCCCAAAATCTCCATTGAGGAAGCAGCAACTCCTATATTCCTGCAGATCAATTGTCTACCCAAGAATAAATAACGCTTTTCACATTTTAGATGGCGCTTCAGTCAACACTAAAACTGTGTAATAGAAGCCAATAAAAACATGCTTGCCCTTTGATGATTCAGCCCTGTCCTCTTCTATTAATATCACTTATCTCATCAGCACTGTGTTGCCCCTCTGTGTCTCTTCGATCAGTACCATGGTCAATGACATTTTGGAGTTTTTGTCATATTTTGCCATCTGTTGATCTACTCATGGTACCGATACTCGTATTTGAACGTGAGTTGTATTTCCTTGCTCACCTGCTGCACAAATGACTTTGTCTCGTTCTTTGTACCTTACATGGGTTAAATCTGAATTGCTGAACGTGATTAGGTTCGCAATACTGTAGACCCCGACCTCCATCAGCAACTTTCTATTAAAAAGTACATTTGTACTCGCCATTGTTGGTTATTCATTCGTATTGTCTGCTTGCTTTACAAGTAGGTGTGATGACGACAATGTCGTTGATTATTAAACTGTATAAGTTAAGCAAGTTATGGTTTTACTTTCTTTGAAAATATTTTTTTTACTGTCTACTAAAATTAATTGTCACTTTGAATATATTTGATATTGATTCATAATTGATTTTTGGGTCAGATCATGAGTAAAATGCCAATGTGTGTCATACACCTCCGATTAGCATGTGTATCATATCCCCATCTACGATTAGCATGGTTGGCTACGTACGGTGCAGAAGAAGTTCATCATCCTCTACCTGGCATAGCCAAATAACGTTGTCACGTGAATAAATGTACACATTTATTATTTATGACACTGATATTTTGGAGATAAATCCACATATAATAATTTAGTTTGACCTTTCGCTGGTAGCTGCCACCAGCGTCATTAGGTTATTGGCATAATTATTAAAATCTCCAATTCTGCACCTTAAATAGGTGGTGTGATGTCATCAACACAACCCCAAAACTGAGCAGGAAGTATCAGTCATATTGGTGAGAAGGTGACAACAGTTGGTGCGATTATTCGCAAATGGAAGAAACACAAAAAAACGGTCAATCTCCCTCGGCCTGGGGCTCCATGCAAGATCTCACCTCGTGGAGTTGCAATGATCATGAGAACGGTGAGGAATCAGCCCAGAACTACACGGGAGGATCTTGTCAATGATCTCAAGGCAGTTGGGACCATAGTCACCAAGAAAACAGTTGGTAACACACTACGCCGTGAAGGACTGAAATCCTGCAGTGCCCGCAAGGTCCCTCTGCTCAAGAAAGCACATATACATGCCCATCTGAAGTTTGCCAATGAACATCTGAATGATTCAGAGGACAACTGGGTGAAAGTGTTGTGGTCAGATGAGACCAAAATGGAGCTCTTTGGCATCAACTCAACTCGCCGTGTTTGGAGGAGGAGGAATGCTGCTTATGACCCCAAGAACACCATCACCACCGTCAAACATGGAGGTGGAAACATTATGCTTTGGGGGTATTTTTCTGCTAAGGGCACAGAATAACTTCACCGCATCAAAGGGACGATGGACGGGGCCATGTACTATCAAATCTTGGGTGAGAACCTCCTTCCCTCAGCCAGGGCATGAACATGGGTCGTGGATGGGTATTCCAGCATGACAATGACCCAAAACACACGGCCAAGGCAACGAAGGAGTGGCTCAAGAAGAAGAACATTAAGGTCCTGGAGTGGCCTAGCCAGTCTCCAGACCTTAATCCCATAGAAAATCTGTGGAGGGAGCTGAAGGTTCGAGTTGCCAAACATCAGCCTCGAAACCTTAATGACATGGAGAAGATCTGCAAAGAGGAGTGGGGCAAAATTTCTCCTGAGATGTGTGCAAACCTGGTGGCCAACTACAAGAAACGTCTGACCTCTGTGATTGCCAACAAGGGTTTTGCCACCAAATACTAAGTCATGTTTTGCAGAGGGGTCAAATACGTATTTCCCTCATTAAAATGCAAATCAATTTATAAAACATTTTACATGCGTTTTTCTGGATTTTGTTGTTGTTATTCTGTCTCTCACTGTTCAAATAAACCTACCATCAAAATTATAGACTGATAATTTCTTCGTCAGTGAGCAAACGTACAAAATCATCAGGGGATCAAATACTTTTTTCCCTCACTGTATATCATGGGGGAGGATCATTGAAGCACATTAGGGTACTCTGCATTTTCATGATGAGGTTTCTGTCAGTAAACATAACTTTCTGTGAGACGTAAACTTATTTTTTCTGGGTTAAATCTATTTTTGACCAGTCACGACAGAAATATGTTTTGCCTGATGACATAAATAGGATGAAAAGACGCAACATGGCCTTCACAAACCTTTCCTACTGGGAGCACCCAACCGGCGGATAAATCAGTTTCAAGTGGAGACATACATTTTGAACTGGTGGTACTTTTATTCGCAATCTTGGTAATACCAAGCCATAACTTTCCACTTGGTTTAAATAAAAGTAAGGAAAACATCTGTATGCATGCAGAAAAATGTGTGCTTGACGGAGACGCTTGAGATGATTTTCTGTCACTTTCCCACCAACTTATAGGTCGTATTTAAATACACGTTTAAGGAAATTCAGTTTCTGTTAACACATGAATTAGGCCCTCTGTATAGTGAGATACAATGTGTTTGCATGGTGCATGCTAAAATGGCTTTGGTAGACTCAAAACATGTATCAGCACATTTGAGAAAACACAGACATCATTAAAGTATAAAATAATTTACCAATGTAATCACCATCACTTCATGATTAGTGATTACCTCGTGAATATCATTACCATTATACCTCATAGGCCCATTGACGTCAGAAAGCAAATTACAATTGGGAAATGGTGGATGGCAAGGAGAGATAGAAGAGTGTGACATTGCTACTATTAATAGGGTGCAGTAATTATGAGGGGAATATAAGGATATAGGCGGGGTCTGGGGACTATATGGGTCTGGGAAGGCTTGATGGGTGATCAAATGCCATAGAGAGCTTTGAAGACAACGAAGGACTGGTAACACAATATCGGGGACTATGTGGACTATATGAAAATGAAAAAGTGGATCTGTAATTTATACTGAACGGGTTCTGGAGACTAAAGGGGTTCCTGAAAATAAAAGGAGACCTGATGGTGGACTCAATACTGGAGACTCCATATGCAGTCTGGTGACTGGAAGAGTGGTTAGATGAACCGATGGAAAGCCTGGTAATGGGGGTGAGGAGCACATTGGGAGGTCTGATGTTGGAGGGAATGGGAGTGTCAGGAGGCATAGGAGATGTGAGACACAAGAAATTCAAACACGCAGGGGGCAAGCAGGGACTGATCCTGACCCTGTGCTGCTTAGCACACATGGCGGCCATAAAATATTGATTGAGGTGAAAGGCGAATTTCACACCACCCACGTAAATATGGGTAGGGTACCTTACCAGCCTGTCCTCCATGAACCAGCATCTCTACTATTTCAGGTCCCCTTTCACACATCATCATTGCATCCGTGGATGTTGGAACAAAACATTTAATTGAACATATTTACACTCACACTGACAACAATGCGCAAATATAGGCCAGCATATATATAAATGCATATAAAGACTTGTGGATGGAATGATTATTCTTGATTCGTTGTTGCTTTACTTTTACTGTGCAAACTTTGCAGAAACCCTGTTTCCTATATTAATTTCCTCTATTTTAGTGGCACTGAGGTGGATTTGTCCACTTTATTTTCCAACATCAAATCTCTCGCAAAAATCCACCTGGACCTGTTTTTTTTATATAGTTAAATTAGACTAACACGTAGGCTTTCGGGACCAATATCATCCATAATGCAGGTTTTTTTGGGTTAGATCGCGTAAATAGACAGGCTAATTAGTAAGGGTTGTAACACATCGATGTGTTGGACTCGTAACGAATTGGCATGTTTTGTTTCAACACATCAGTGTGCTGTACTAGTAACGAATTGGCATGTACTGTTTACGTGACAAACCTTACTCATTGGCTGTGTCGGGTTGAAGCGGGTTTAATGACACATTTATATATTTATGCAATCTAACCCAAAAAAAAAAACCTGTATTATGGAAAATTAAAATATACGTTTACACCACACAAAATAGTCATGTGCGTCATTGTGGAGGGACAAATATATGCAGGACACATTCTGCTTATCCATATAATTTCTTACATTCTCCGCAACGACGCTCGTGATTATTTTGTGTTATAATTTTGCATCGAACTCTGACCCATATCTTAAAGAGAAGGTCCTTGCCTGCAACATCTGACAATTCAGCAGCATTGATTCGAGCAAGCCTCAATGCTGATGAGATACTGTCAATCCGAAATCGTCCACTTTGCTTGGAATGACTCCATGCTCATAGAAGGCCGTGGGGCCGTTGGATCGTGTACAAAAATACTTAAATATTTTACGTGTAAAAAGAGACATGACAGGGACATATTTGCCTGCTTATCTATTTTATTTCCACCACGGTTAATAATAGTCATGTTAAGTTGTCTAAATTGTAATCAGATATTTTCTCACACTGTTATTCTCATGTTCGTAAGCAGGAAGAAAAAGTAACAGCCAACATCATAGTTTTGTGTTTAGTCAGGGTATTTGCTACAATACAATGGTGAATCTTGCACAAAACAACCACTACAACGATGTAATTTCTGCACACATGCAGCTTCATGAAGACTGTCATGTCACGTACACATCACATATGGGGCATCATGATGAAGACGATTGCTTGGGGATGCAGAGCGTGTGAGAGTGTAATGGATGTTGCAAAGGGGAGAAAGGAGTTGGCCTTAATACTTTAAGTGATGTTATTTTTACTGTGGGTTATTGAGTATCAATTCACTGCTCTGTCCCTCATGCACACGACAACCAGTTTTACATCTGGTGTCTGAATCTACATGTTAACCACCTTATTTTTCATGTTTATTCATCTCATTGTAAAAATGCATTATCACTATCATCTTTACACATAGCATCCTCATCCTATACACTGCAGCAACAATTTGGAATCATTGGTCACTCTCGCACACAGCCTAAAATCACAATACATTAAGGCCATTTTGTCACTGAATTATAATAATAGATTTAGGAATGATTGCACTTTTTATAATTCATATAACACTGAGTCATGAAAAGATATATTTAAAAAAATATTTCTATATTATATTCATATTTCACTTAATCTACGGTAATTAATGGATGTGCTTATTTTTATGGGTTATGTGTAAAATAATCAGGGAAATGTAATAAAATATTTAAGCAATTTAGAAGATAAAATAACATCTATATATACAAGAGTAATTCTATTTTTGTCATGTATAAATTCCATAACATGCTATAAACTCCCTGAGTTATTGTGCCATAATTCATTACTGAAATGTACATCAACAAAATGAGCATTCACTTACTGGAAAATGACTTTCTCAGTATGGTTTTGGGTTTAGCGTCTTCTTTGAGAAAGGACACAGTTTGTGTGCTTGCGTTCACAAAAGCGCGCGTACTGATGCTATTTGGATGTTCTGTTTTTAAGGAAGAGGAACGCACTGGCACATTCTTTGAACCAAAAAACACTTGCACACGGTGGACCTGTATAGTCCTTTCAAGTTCTGGACAAAACCTGTGATATTCAACCGTGTCGCTAAATCGAACCCGTTCTTTGGTGGTCTGGGTGAAGTTGTCTCTCTTCATTCGGTCTCGGGACACCGCACTGTAGCAACTCCTTGTTATTGTTGTAAACTCTCCAGAGTGGTTGGGGACTCCGTCGCTTAACTCTTGATTTCCCACGCTTTTCAACATGCCATTTAACAGCAATGAGCCATTTGCAAAAGCGACACGGTTGTTCTTCAAAAACGTGTGTTTGGGGGAGGTTGAATCTGCCCTTCTGGATTCAGAATCCTCCGTGTCATTGGGAGGTGGCGATCCAGTATTACAGTCATTGGTCACATTAATATGATCAGACCCTCGCAGTGCTTGCTGGCAATGTTCAGGGTTTCGAATATTGCTTAATAGGACATGAGAACGTGTTGTTTTACCCAGAACCTTCGATTTGTGTTTCGGCTCGCTTCTTGCTGAAAGTTGTGATGCAGTTTCGACTTTAACCTTCGAGGTGGCCTGAAGGTCTCCAGAGCAATAACTCACTTGAAAGTCAGTTTGAGACGACGTGGCACAATGTTTTTTATCCACAGTTTCATTTACTGTCTGAGTTTCATAAAAAGAATATGGAGTCTGTTGGTGAGCAGGAGCTATTGATGTATTGCTGGTTGAGGTAGCATCCTTTGCTACATCGAGAGCCATAAAACTAGTCCTTTGTGACTGGTAAGACCTGGTCACTGATACAACTGCCGACGTAGATGCAGTGCTGGTGGTAATTGTCCGTTCTTCAAAGTAGAGACCTGTTATGTTGGACCAGGACACGTCGCTGGAGGAGACAGATTCACTGTCATTGTCTTCCTCCTCCAAATGTAAGTTGGCAGTAAGTTTGTCAATCTGCGCGATGACCTGCAGAGTTCAGTAACAATCATCTTAAACCCTATGCTAGCACTGCAGTGTAATATACAGAATTTATTAATGAAACCACTTACATTTTCTGTGACAATGCAACAAATGGAAAAAAGTAACAATACGAAAACAAGTTACTTTGCAAAATATACGAACCGCTTTCCACTTTCATAAATTTTAGGTGCAAAATTCGTTGACACACATAACGTCAAAAAGTGGAAATGTCCATTCTCTTCTTACATTTTAGTTTTTTGCATGAAATATGTTCCAGGTAAACATGATTTTTAGGCTTTGCGATATCAAAACAAAATACTCAAAAATAAAGCCCATTTTCCTCCAGAATACTGCTGTATTACTAGACAATTTATTTTAGGAAACATGGATGAACATGCAAAACCCATATATTTTAGTCAGTGTCTACAATCTACATGACCAAAGAAGCATTGTGGACTTGCCATATCCATTGCTGGCCAGGGCCAGTCGCGAAAATTCCACATTCACATGGTGATGCCAATTTCTCCAGGGATAACCATTGTTGAATTCCATCACAAGAGTACTAATTTAATCTGCACCACAGCGTTGAGCGACTGAGTCGATCCGAAATTTGCATTTAACTGACATTTCAACCGTGAGGTGAGAACTGTTCCCACGTGTATTAAATATATGTGACTACAGTCATTCCTGGGCAAGAGGAATCCAATAAAATAGGATACACTTCACAAATTTGTGCTTAATTTAAAATACGTGAAAACATAACTAAACCATACCCGTAATTTAGCACACTGCACTGTGCGCGTCTCGTAGACGGATTGTATAGTTTTAATTGGATGCCTTCGGTTGCATATCCGTATAAATTTTGACGTGCACTGGCCCAGATACGTTGAATGGTTAAATTCAATCATTTAGCTTATATACACCTCATATAAAATTAACACTAAACACACATTATAGCTCTTTACAAGGTTATAAAACTGAGTGTGTTTTTGATTGGTTTTTAAATCATTAATGCAGTCCATAACCACCGTAAACCCCGCATATGCAATGAAGGGCCAATCGTCGGTAATCTCTGATGAAGCTCCGATACGCGACTAAACATCGCATAGAAGAACCAAAACATTGCAAATGGCACGAAACGGTGAATGCAAATGAACCTCACCTCTCTGAGTTCCATTGCCACCTCTTTCAGCTCTTTCAGGACCTTCTCCATTTGAGCCACGACAAGAGATATTTGCGCTCGCACGGCTTGCGATCCTGGGTGGTTGATGTGAGCTTGGGGGTTGATTCGAGTAGACATCGTGGAGTCCTTAGCTTGCCTCGTGGCTTATCTTTTATTTTGCGCGCGCGTGTGTGTGTGTGCCAGAAGCAATTAACTTGGGTGGGAAGCAGGCGGATTTAAACGAGATGGTCACGGTTTGCTCGACATATTCCCCTGCTCGAAGCTATAAATACAGTCATATCAAAGCACAATAGCAAATGCACACACGCATTCCTCTTCATCGTTCACCGGACATCGATTGCGCGCAGTCGTTCCGCCGACGACAGACGCTTTTGTCCGCGCGTATTTATCTGCCGTCGGTGTGCGAGACTCCATCGATTTCTTCATATACATCCGAGAGCATTTCTTGACAAGTACGGGGGCGCTCTCATGGCACACTCTAATCACCACGCCGGCCAAAAGCACGCTCCGGACGTGAGCCTCTCTCTCCCTCGCCACCGACCTGCATCAACCTCCTCGTGAATACGCGAGGAGGTCATCTCGTAACGAGAGGAGCCCGCTCATGAAATCTCTCACTTGTTTCTCGCTGTTTTGGGGGGGATTGCGACGCTTCTGGGAGGCTGCCACGCGGGTCCGTTACGTTAATGCCGTGGCGAGGGACGTGCATCACCGCAAAGCAGCCGCGTCAGTGCCACATCGATTTGCCATTTCTTTGCGCCTGGAAAAGCACCCGCCAGCTTGTCGGCGAGCGACGGTGATGAGGCTACCCTGGGGAGACGAGACAACGAGAAGAAGCAACTTTCAGAATAAAGGCTGTGGTGCTTATGGCTGAAACCTCATCGGCGTTACGCTGCCCAATGACGCTCGTAACGATCTCGTAACGATCACTCGTCGGCGACGACGATGATGATGATCGGCAATCATCATAATCATTATTGTTGTTGTTGTTGTGCAGCCTGTACACAACATCGCCTCGTGTCACTTGACACACGCCGGTGCAGAACGCACGCTTTAGCCATTTTGCAACGCATCTATGACGACTTACGAATATATATTCACATTCTGTGCCGCGCTATTAATACAAAACAACAACAACAACGGCTAGGTGGTGGTGCTGCGTTTAGGGAGCCGAACATTGATTATTATTTGATTAAATAGTGGCTTAGCCCTCCTGCTCTGGGGAGGGAGCCGGCGGCTTGGCAGGGGGCGGGTGGTGGTGGTGGAAGCGACGTGAGCTGTGTGCACAGGGGTGGTGGTGGTGGTGCGTGATGTAGGGTGTTTGTGTCCGTGTAACGCGTGTGTTTATGTGTGCACACACTCTCTGTTACGTCTCCGCGTGTGCGCGTGCGTGCGGATGAATGCGTGCGCGTGCGCGCGGATGAATGCGTGCGCGTACGTGGCGTTAGCGCATCTGCGCACGGGTTCGTGTGTCGTTGCGCGCGTGTAACGTGCATGCGAATTACATCGTTTGCGATGCACAATCCAGTACATGTCGTGATATAGGCCCGTGTGTATGTATTGGATATTGTTCGTAAATAGCTACAATGGAGGGATTGCAAGTCTGTGGGTACGTGTATTGTACACGTGTATGTTTATGCGTGAATTTCCCGGTCTGTGTAAGCAAAGGTCTGTTTATCCTGCAGGTCAACGTGTGTTATGCGATTGGATGTATATACACAGTAACGACATTGTTTACGTTTAAGGTGTTGTGTGTAAATGCACTGTATGTGTCGCGTATGGACTGATATTTAATTCCGATTTAAAATCACGAAAGCTTAAACGATCGGTTACATTGTTTTTTTTCTGTGTGTCAACCGAGAATCAAAAGCGCGCGTCTCGTGAAATTAAACGAATGGAAAGGCCTGTGCGGTAGGTACACATTATTTTTTTACTAACCTTCTTCTTCGTAATGCCTTTCCATCTCTGAGAGAATATCGTCAGCGCGCGCGCTGGAGGAAGAGCGCATCAGCATCAGCAGCGGCATCATCATCATCAGCGCGTGCTGCTGCTGATGATGAAGCTACCGCAGCGAGCAGCAAGCAGCAGCAGCACGGGGCGAGCGATGGATTGAGAAGCACCCTCCCGGCGGCGCATGGATGACCCTGCGTGGAATGAGTCGGGAAGGGGTCGTCACGCTACAGCTCTCTCTCTCTCACCCTTGTGACTGGGAGAGAGAGACGAGGGGAAAGAGAGAAAAAAAACAAGTACACGGCTCCGCTCTGCCGCACAAAATGGACATCCCCCCGTTGGTGAAAGTTTGGACCAACACGTGTATTTAATTACTAGCTGTACTACCCGGCTTCTCCCGGGACTTGTATCTACCACGGCCGGCCGCCTTTGTCTCCCCAGTGGCGATGTTAATACGCTACAGTAGTTAAGTTACTCGTTTGAGGCAGAGTCGACCTAGGGGAGGTTCAAATAATCGTCACCGGTGGTGGCCGTGAGCGGGAATCGAACTGGGTTTGCCGGGTTGGTAGCGCAGCGTAGCGTTAAGCACTACACCCACCGCTCCTCACACACCACACACACAGACACACACACAGACACACGCAGACACACACAGACAGAAACACACACACAGACAGCACGCTAACCACTACACTACCGCTCCCCACACACCACACACGCACACACACAGACACACACACAGACACACAAACAGACACACACACACAGACACACACACACAGGCAGCACGCTAAGCACTACACTACCGTTCCCCCTACACAACACACGCGCGCGCGTCCATAGGTACACATACACGCGCTTGCTGCAGACACACACGACTTTCAGGGTGCATACGGCAGTAAACGACTGAAATAATAAAGCGGCAATGCTGTGTAAGGAACGCCTTAGACCCGCATTATACATTTGTGTAATGCGAGCGTAAACACACAAACACACACAAACACATACACAATACACACACACATACATGCAGACACACAGACAGACACATAACACACATACATACACACACATACAAACACAGAAACACATACACACACATACATAGACACACACATACATACACACGAACACATCCACAGACGTACATACACACATACATACAGGCACGCAGACATACACATAAACACATACAAAAAAACCCACATACATACACACACACATACATACACACAAACACATGCACACACATACATACACACATGCATACAGACACACAGACATACACATAAACACATACACACATACACATGACCCGGCTTCGCCCGGGACTTGGATCCACCACGGCGGCAAAACCGACATACATACACACACAGACATACACACAAACACATACACACACATACAAACACACATGCATACAGACACACAGACATACACATAAACACATACACATGACCCGGCTTCGCCCGGGACTTGGATCTACCACGCCCAGCCGCCTTTGTCTCCCAAGTGCCGATGTTAATACGCCACACCAGTTACTCGTTTGAGGCTGAGTGGACCTAGGGGAGGTTCAAATAATCGTCACCGGTGGTGGCCGTGAGCGGGAATGGAACTGGGTTCGCCGGGTTGGTAGCGCAGCGTAGCGTTAAGCACTACACCCACCGCTCCTCACACACCACACACGCACAGACACACACACAGACACACGCAGACACACACAGACAGACACAGACAGACACACACACACACAGACAGCACGCTAAGCACTACACTACCGCTCCCCACACACCACACACGCACACACACAGACACACACACAGACACACGCAGACACACACAGACAGACACAGACAGACACACACACACACAGACACAGACAGCACGCTAAGCACTACACTACCGTTCCCCCTACACAACACACGCGCGCGCGTCCATAGGTACACATACACGCGCTTGCTGCAGACACACACGACTTTCAGGGTGCGTAAGGCAGTAAACGACTGAAATAATAAAGCGGCAATGCTGTGCGAGGAACGCCTTAGACCAGCAACACATTTGTGTAATGCGAGCGTAAACACACAAACACATACAAACACATACACACACATACATACACACACATACACACAAACACATACACACAGACATACACATACACACAAACACACACATACATGCACACAAACACATAGACAATACACACACACATACATGCAGACACAGACAGACACATAACACACATACATTAACACACTTACACACACATACATAGACACACACATACATAGACACACACATACATACACACAAACACATGCACACACGTACATACACACATACATAGAGACACGCAGACATACACATAAAGACATAAAAAAAAACCCACATACATACACACACACATACACAAAAACACATACATACACATACATACACACATACATAGAGACACACAGACATACACATAAACACAAACACACATACACATGACCCGGCTTCGCCCGGGACTTGGATCCACGATGCCCCGCCGCCTTTGTCTCCCCAGTGACGATGTTCACACACGACAGCAGTTACGCTTTTGAGGCTGAGTGGACCTAGGGGAGGGCCAGGTCCGTTTCAAATAATCGTCAGCGGTGGTGGGCGTGAGTTGGAATCGAACTGGGGTCGCTCAAGCAGCTTAATGACTGTTTGTACAAAGAACATATAAAGAATCGATTATAATAACCAGGCAAGAGTCCACATTATAGACTGCCAGTACACGCACTCAGCTTCATAAGCAGGCTAGAGTGTACATGATAGAGTGGCAGTACGCTCACCGAGCTTAATAAGCAGGCTACAGTGTACATGATAGACTGGCAGTACGCTCACCCAGCTTAATGAGTATTTGTACAGTGAACATTAAAGTAATCGATTGTTGGCGCGTTGGGTTTAAAAGTAATATTAATAGCACACATTGTGGTGGGGGTGTAGTGAAGAGTAGGAAAAACTTTGATGAATTTACCTCAGAGTGGCGTGGTGGGTGTCGAGGCCTAGTAGCGTGCAAAGCCTGCGGCCTCGCCTAAAATTGTCGGCTTGGAAGAGGCAGGGTACGGGTGGCGTTCCTTCCCCCCCCCCCCTAGCGCTCCAACAATACTGTGTAATGGCTATTATTTAATTAAATACGGAGCTTATGAAAGTGGCGAAGGCGTGGCTAGCCGTTGGCAGGGGCAACCGCCGTCCAATGAAACTGCAGCCCTTGGCGAAGGCGTGGCTAGCCGTTGCCAGGTCCAATGAAAGCGGCGAAGGCGTGGCTAGCCGTTGCCAGGGGCAACCGCCGTCCAATGAAAGTGCGTATGGGCCAAAGTCCACACACACACACACAGACAGACAGACATGAACGATTTTATATATATAGATTACACAAAACGTAACGTTCTGTAGACTGCATTATTACAGTACATCGGCCAATGGACTTTCCAAAACCAATAATGTCAAATCCTGGCCCGGTTTCAAACGTATGGATCAGTAGAGAAATGCGTGCAAAACAGTTGCTGCTGGATTACAAGTTGTTATTGGCAAGAGTGCTCCATATACAGTCTGGGGTTGAAATGGGAGGAAACAAAAATCCTGGGGGAATTCATGAATGTCGAGCATAGCAAGGCGACTTAATGCATTCTTTACCGGAGAAGAGAGGACTTCCCAATACAGGTGTAAAGGGTTCAACTGAGTCGCAGACGTAGACTTTGGAAGCAACACATTTATTCAGTTCCAACACACGGGGTAACTTCCCTTTAGCAGAATAACAACCTAAGGTGGTGACCACCCGGCTAACTACGCTAGTTACTACGTAACTGTTACTATGGACCGGGACCAACGACTTCGGCCCGGGTCCACGTGTTGGAGACTCGTTGAACGAAGATCGTAGACGAATGGTTTCTTCCAGGATGAACAACAACCCTGGTCCCTCCCGGGACCCGGCTTATATTCTCTGTGGCGTGGCCGGCTCCGCCCTTGGCCACGTTCACCTTCCAGAATCCTCGGGAAGGATCTGGGTCACAATCACGTGACCCCCCCTAGCCCCCTCTTGGGGCCCCTCTGTCAATTTAACCAGTCACGTGTCCTCCCTGGTCAACCAGAGTGCCATGGCCTCCCGTAACCCTATCCTTCGGTCGGCACCCACACACCGTGTCCTGTAGGGCCGGCACTGCACTTCAAGCGTGGTGCCATCCTGCGCTATCATTCAGCGCACACCGTACCCCTCTAGGGCCGGTACTACACCCGCAACATTCTGGTATCCGGCGATGTCGCGACACCACACGTCGTGCCGCTCTAGGGCCGGTACTGCACCCACAGCATGGTGACATCCAGCGATGTCACTACACAGGTATCCCTCGATTTATGAGAGGGATGCGTTCTTTAAAAAAAGAAACGCACGTAAAACAACATTTCGTAAATCTGAATGGCTTTTCCCACCAATTTCATAGAAAAATTAGGAATGTGTTTCGGACAGTCATTCCAACTCTATTCCTAACCTAAAACTATACACTTATGTGACTTTTCACAATAATAATAAGGAACAGAAATATTATAACGATAGAATAATACAAATAATTAACCTTTTCGGGAAACTCACCAAAAGATCTGCATGTTGGAATGACTGGAAAGGTGATGTGGAGGCGTTACTGTTGCACTGCACTACAGGGATACCGGGACATTTTAGCAGATAGATGACGCAGCATCCCAGGTAGTTCTTGTTTGATCTCATGGAACGTACCATGTGAAATTTTGTTAACAAGGAAATTCGATTTCGTTAATCGAAAAGTGGCCATAATATGCGAATTGCATTCACGCAAAAGGCCATGTTATAGAGGTTCTTCCTTTATAACGGCCTTTTAAAAAATCCATTACAATACAGGCAACTTGTCTAATCTAACAAAGAACCCTCATCTCATCCGACATAACCCTTGTCTTATCCAACAGAAACCTCGTCTTATTCGATACAAAACCATCAGCAAATCCAACATAGAACCTCATCACATACGACACAGAACCCTCGTCTCATCCAACAAAAACCTTGTCTTATTCGATACAAAACCCTCACACAACCCTCATCGATACAGAACCATTGTCTAGTCCAGGGGTCGGCAACCTACGGCTCCGGAGCCGCATGCGGCTCTTTACAGGCTGC